GAGGAGGAAAAAAGAAGAAGGTAGAAAGGATAAAAGAAGGGAGGGAGAGGAAGAGAAAGAAGAAAGATTGCTGTAAAACAAAAAAAAGATGAAATGGAAGAAAGGCATCCCCGAACCTGTTTAAATATATTAAGATAAAGAATGAATTATTTAAAAAAAATTAAAGGAGAATGTGTACGATTAAGAATGGAAAAAAATAGAATTTGAGGGTGAAAGAAGATCCTGTTTATAGAAATAAGAATAGAATCTTGCAGCAATTTTAATTTTATCCTCGCCTTTCAAAAAAAGAAAAGAAATAAGAATAGAAAAATTAAGATTGGATTAACAAATAATGGAAAAAGAACACTTTGGCAGAAACTAATTAAGTAAAATAAACTTGGATAGGATAAATTGTATACGATGTGATATGATATGGTCAATACTCTGTTTCAAAAAAATATGTGGGTGTGTATTGGGGTGGGGGAAACTAATAAAACTTGTCAAAAGAAAACAAACAAAAAACACCGTTTTTGTGAAATCCCAAAAGTGACAGATAACACGTGTCCGTTTTTCAAAATCTACATATTTTCGTCACGTATTCTGGACACCTCGTTATCTGTTTGTGCGACATCGGATTTCAGTCCGTGGCCTACATCTTAGGCTATTCTCACTTGCGTCAAAATAGCTAAGGAGCGTAAAATTTCGTATTTGGCTCAATTCTAGTTCTCTCCCCCTCCATGACTGTAAAAGAAAAAAAATCTCACCTACGACAGGTGTCGCCCTATTGTTCGTTTCAGCTGATTAATAATTTATACATCCCCTACTCTACGGTGCCACCCCAACACACCTGGGTTAAAGATGACAAGAAACGGAAGCGCCGTGAAATCCAATAAGGTTTAGTTATTATATAAAAAGACAGTGCAGCATGGAAGTGCACGGCTGGGGTTGAGTCCTTGGTGCTGCTGGTTTTCTTCCAGACGTTTCACGACCCAACTACCCAACATCATCCGTGCTAGAAGGGAGTGGGGTTTGCTCTCATTTTATATATTACTGTAGCGGCTTACCCTGTCCCTCTGTTGGGAATGTGGGGGTTTTTTCCCCCTCCTTCATAGTTCCTTGATTAGGGTATTGTTTTCTGCTTGATCGTTTGTCTGGTACTAATCCCTGCTTATCTGGGTTTCTCTTTCTGTAGAGTCTGTGTTGCTCTCTCAGCTTGGTGGTTTTCTTGCAGATGTTTCATTACCCAACTAGGTAACATCATCAGGGCTAGAAGGCAGTGTGGTTTGTGGAAGAAGAGGAGGAGGAAGGAGGACTGTGGGGTTCTTAGTGCTCTCTGAGCTTGGTGGTTTTCTTACAGACGTTTTATTACCAAACTAGGTAACATCATCAGTTGCTAGGGCGCGGCTGATGTTCTAATTTATTTCTTTTATATATAACAGCTGTTAGCTGTTAGAAAGGAAAAAAGCCTAGACTAGACTAGACTAGGCTAGACTCGTGATGTGATGCTACTGAGCTGGAGCTACAAAAAACCTTGGTTACGTAGGGAAAACCTGACTAGAAGAAAAACATATCTCTTATCTATCTATCTATCTATCTATCTATCTATCTATCTATCTATCTATCCACATATGTAGAAATGTAGACTGATGAAGGGGAATAATAACTGTGTTTGGAGCTATTAACCCAAGGAAAGGGTTTTTTTTAAAAAAAATATCTTTATTATCATTCATATCTTTTTGCATTTTCATGGCTATTCAATTGAGTCAGTTTTTTAAATTTGTTTTATTCACTGGATAGCATGAATTTGCATTTTCTTATTTGGTTTCTAACGTGAGTCAGCACAATGCAGGATTGTTGTTATCTCAACAAAATGTTTGTCTTTCTACTCTTGACTGATACGTTAACTTTGTATCATTCCGGTGAGTAATAGCAACCTATGTTTCATCTATTGTTTGCAAGAAGTTTGGGAACAACATAGAGACAAACTTATGAAGAAGAAGAAAAAAAACACACAGACACACACAGGGTATTTGTTAAGGGGACCGACAATCTTTTAAAAGAGTCAGCTTGAATTTTTTGCTTAAGAGAGTACGGGATCTCTCTTGTCGTGCTTATATTTTTCATGCCCTTTCAAAAAAATCAGAAATATATAGGCTGATTAAGAGGAGCATTTTGCAACGTTAGAAATCTACTTCAATAACTACTGTTATTCTGTGATTAATTTTGTGCACCCCAGGCCCTCCTCGACTTACCACGGTTCCTTTAGAAACGACGATGCTGAAAAATATAAAGTGACTTACAGTCGGTCCTCGTACTTACAACCGTCGTAGCATCCCGCCGTGGTCAAATGGTCAGAGTTTGGGCGCTTGGCAAAACTGATCAGTTTGTGACGGTTGCAATTTGTGGCCTTCCGGCATTCGGCAAATGAAGCCAATGCAGGAAGCTAGATTGACTTTTAAGAGCCCCGTTATTCGCTTAAGGACCGCAGCGCAGGGTCGTAACATTGGGCCTGACTCACTTAACAAATTGCTCTGTTTAAGCACCAAAATCGTGGAACCTTTTGCCATCTTTCCTTTAAGGCAAGAGAAAGAATTCAAATTTTATTGAATGCAGAGCACACGGTTGCAATGATAGACTGTACCAGCTGGAATTTAACAGTATCGGTTTACATTTTTATGTGTGTGTGTATGTGTTGATTGCACTTTGGAAAAGAAGATTTTGTGGTGGACCTTTAATTGTTCGCATCCTTAAGAGACCAATCAGATGAATTTTTAATGGAAGGTGCAATTTCCAGCATGCCAGAATTAGAATTCAGAACATCTTGAATTCAGCTTGCCCGAATGTCTCTCTTTCCTTATTATTGTAAAGCGTCTTGGAACAAGTTCGGGATAAAAATTTATATTTCAAATTTTAAAAAAAACAAAACAAAACACGAGCAATGGGAGGCACGGGGTGTGATAACACATTTAGTTCCAGTTGCTTGTTGACAAGAAAGGCTGACTAAGTATAGTTTGGAAGGGAGCGTTTAATTTAGGGTTTTGTCAATCGCGTTATTTTTAAGTTGAATGCCTGGCAGTCTGCAGTGGAGGGTCGCTGCATTGAGTAGGATCATTAGGAATTTGTGTATATTATTTGCGGTGCCCAAAATAGCATCAGTAGGAGTTATGCTGCAGAGCTTCGGATAATCACAGCTAGCATTTTGAAATGTGGGTATGCATGAAGCTGTTGAAGATTTATGTGGTCTCCTGGGATGGATGGATGGGAGGAAGGAAAGAGATCGGGAGGGAAGGAGGGAAGAAAGAAGGGAGAAGGGAAGGAAGGAGCTGGAAAGAAGAGGGAGGGAGGAAAGGAAGGAAGGAGAAGGGAAGAAGAGAGAGGAAGGAAGGAATAGGAAGAAAAAGAGGGAGGGAGGAAGAAGGGGAAGAAGAGGGAGAAAAGGAAGGAAACAGGAAGAAGAGAGGGAGGGAGGAGGAAAATGGGAAGAAGAGGAAGGGAAGGAAGGAAGATGGGAAGAAGAGGGAGGAAGGAAGGAAGGGGAAGAAGAGAGAGGGAGAAAAGGAAGGAGGAAGGAGAATGGGAAGAGAGAAGAAGGAAGGAAGGAATGGGAAGAAGGGAGGGAGGAAGGAAAGGGGAAGAAGAGGGGGGAAGGAAGAAGGAGATGGGAAGAAGAGAGGAAGGAAGGAATAGGAAGAAGAGAGGGAGGGAGGAAGAAAAGAAGAGGAAAGGAGGGAGGAAATGGAAAGAAGAGGAAGAGAGGGAGGAAGAATGGGAAGAAGGAAAGGAGGGAGGAAGGAAACAGGAAGAAGAGAGGGAGGGAGGAAGAAAAGGGGAAGAAGAGGGAAGGAAGGAAGGAGATGGGAAGAAGAGAGAGGAAGAAAGGAAAGAATGGGAAGAAGAGAGAGGGACGGAAGGAGGGAGGAAGGAGAATGGGAAGAGAAAAGGAAGGAATGGGTAGAAGGGAGGAAGAAGGGAAGGGGAGGAAAGGAGGGAGGAAGGAAACAGGAAGAAGGGAGGGAGGGAAGGAAAGAGAATAGGAAGAAGAGAGAAGAAGGATGGAAGGAGTTGGGAAGAAGAGGGAAGGAATGAAGGAAGGAGCTGGGAAGAAGAGGGAGGGAGGGAGGAGAATGGGAAGAAGAGAGAAGAAAGGAATGAGAAGAAGAGGGAGGGAGGAAGGAAGAATGAGGAGGAGGAAGGGAGGAAGAAAAATGGAAAGAAGAGGGAGGGAGGGAGGAAGGAAGGAAGGAAGGAAATATACATACACTGCCATAGTATCCTTTGCTATGTGAGAGAATGGTTGATGTTTGCTGACAAGGCCCCTGTTTTATAAATGGGGGATGCATTATTTTATAGGCCATCATTATGTATTAATAGTTGTAAATTTCAGGGGTGTTTAAGCAAGGCGGGGAAGCTGAACGTTGTAGATTTTTGACTGAATTTAGTTGTCTTCACTCTTCCTGTTGCGGGGCAGTGGAACAGTGTCACGATTTATCTCCCTAATTGTTAATACCGACATCCCTTTGATTTGTAAAATAAAATTGCCTGCCAGGTTGAAGATAAGTTACTCGGTTCGAGTCCCACTGGGGTGGGGGTGGGGAACGTCCCTTATTTGTGTTTTCAGGATAACGTATAATATCACAACAAAACGAGTGAGTAACCAACACTCCCAGCGCAGAGACGGGCAGTTATTTTGTGCAACCTTTTGTATTTCTGGAGACTTGGGAGCGCAGGCAAAGCTAACACTGCCTCGATGACTCCATGTCACGAATATTCTATATTGTGAAATACGACGAGGACTATGCGCGGAGTTTCACGGTCTGCCGAGCGAGCCAATAGAAAGGCATGTTTTAACATGATAAATTTTGCAACCTGCAAATGTTACCTTGTGCAAAAGGAGGAAGCTAAAACCCGGCCATAAGAAAGAAAGAAAGAAAGAAAGAAAGAAAGAAAGGAAGGAAGGAAGGAAGGAAGGAAGGAAGGAAGGAAGGAAGGAAGGAAGGAAGGAAGGAAGGGGAAGGAAGGAA